CCCCTACCCCCCATCAGTGCTCTCTGACTCTCTCTGCCTGCCCTAAGCTCCTGCCTAGTCCTTGCCCTTCTGACCTTTTGTCCTTGGGATTCTTGCCCTCGGGACTTTCCTTCTCTTCCCCTTGATCTTCGCCTCCTGCCATCTTCAAGCTTTTGCTTGTCCTCTGTTGTCCCCTGTTTTCTGCCTTGCTGGCTCTCACATCTGTCTTCCTCCTCTTCTGCCCCTCCTTCCTGTCCAGTGCTCTTTCCCCAGGCTCCAGTGGCCTCTGCCCACCTTTCCCTGGGGCTCCTCTTTATTCATAGAATAAAAAAGTCCTAGAAAGAAGGGTCCCCATCTGGTCTAAGACTGTTTTTGACAGAGGAGGAAACTGAAGCCCAGACTTGGGAAGCGACTGCCCTAAGGCTGGAGTTGGGAGAATGGCCGGCCAGAACCCGCAGGAGGCTCCCCGCCCCCTGCGCCCGAGCCTCTCCCCTGCTCCCTTGGGCTCTGCCCTGCCCCTCCCTGCCCAGCACCCAGATGGCCTCGCCCCCAGTTCCCTCTCACCCACACTCACCCCCCCGGCCCCCGCTGCTTTCCCTTTTCCTGCCTGCCCTCCATGCTAGGCCCGTGACCAGGCCCTGACTGACCCCCACTGTCTCTTCCCACAGTGCCCGAGGCTCCCGTCATCGACACGCAGCGCACCTTCGCCTACGACCAGATATTCCTGTGCTGGCGGCTGCCTCCCCACTCGCCACCTGCCTGGCACTACACCATCGAGTTCCGGCGCACCGATGCGCCTGCCCAGCCGGGTCCCGCCCGCTGGCAGCGGCGAGAGGAAGTGAGGGGCACCAGTGCCCTGCTGGAGAACCCAGACACAGGCTCTGTGTACGTGCTGCGCGTCCGGGGCTGCAACAAGGCCGGCTACGGCGAGTACAGTGAAGACGTGCACCTGCACACGCCCCCGGCACCCGGTGAGCGGGCAGGTGGGCGGGCGCGGGGCCCCCAGGCACCCAGGGAGCGGGCAGGTGGGCGGGCGCGGGGCCCCCAGGCACCCAGGGAGCGGGCAGGTGGGCGGGCGCGGGGCGCGCCGGGGACCGCCTCGCCGCACTAACAGCTGGCGCTGGGTGGGCGCTGGGGAGCAACACAGTGGGCCACGCTCACCAGCTCTGGAGCTAGACTGCCTGGGGTCAAATCCCCACTCTGCCTCTTGCCAGTGGTGGCTCTGGGCAAGTCGTGGGCCCTCTCTGAACGCCAAGTCCCTCTTCTCCAGCGATAATAGCAATGTTACTGTTGTGAGAATGAAGCCGGTGAGCTTCCAGCTCATAGTAAGGGCTCAGTAGAGGTTAGGAGAGCGACTCTCCAGAAAATAGCCTGGCCCCTGGGGCGCAGGTAGAATACCACACCGGAGCATCACCGCCCAAGGGGGTGTAAGGGCTGGGTGTGAGTCCCAGAGCAAGCGCTGGAAGGTGTAGGTTGGTGGTGGGGGCCAGCCATAGGAGGGGTGGGAGGAAGCACTGCAGGTCAGCTGGGTCTGGGAGACTGGTTTCTGGGCCCACTAATCCCCACTAAAACTCTTCCTGGGGTCCCATGCCCCTTTGAGGTACCCCCTTCTTTTCTCCTTGTGTCCCCCATTGCAGTTCTCCAGGCCCTGGTCCCTGGAGCCCCCGCCCATCCCTTGGCAGCTTGTTTCACATTCTGAAACCTCCCAGTGTCCTTTGCTGACACCTCACGACCTCCATGGCCTGGGTTTGTCCCTCAAGGCCTTCCTTTGTCACCCCTCCCCCACTGCAGTCCTGCACTTCTTCCTCGATGGCCGCTGGGGCACAAGCCGAGAGCGGCTGGCCATCAGCAAGGACCAGCGAGCGGTGCGGAGTGTCCCGGGGCTGCCCCTGCTGCTGGCTGCTGAGCGGCTGCTCACTGGCTGCCACCTGAGCGTGGACGTCGTCCTGGGAGATGTGGCCGTGACCCAGGGCCGCAGCTACTGGGCCTGTGCCGTCGACCCAGCCTCCTACTTGGTCAAGGTGGGCGTCGGGCTGGAGAGCAAGCTTCAGGAGAGCTTCCAGGGCGCCCCCGATGTGATCAGCCCCAGGTCAGGCCTCTCTGGGGGGTGGGGGGTGTGAGGGTCCAGGTGGGGGAGCTGGAGACAGGATAGGGGTGGCAAGGGGAGCTCATGCTGGTTGGGTGGAGTGGGGGAGTTTAGGAGCATGGATGCCAGGCTGGGGCCTGTGGCCGGGGTAAGCGTGGGCTTAGCAGAAGGGCTTGGAGAATTGGTTTTCGGAGGAGTGTGTGACTGGGAGAGGGCTGCAGGAGAGGGAGCCATCCACTTGCCCGCACCTGTCCTCAGGACCACCAGACCATGTCTCCAAGAGCCTCTGCATCTCCCAATGCCCTGTTCCAACGTGCTTTCTCGGCAACCCCCTCTTTCTTCCCTTCACCACGTCTGAGATCCTTCCCTTAAAATGTCCACCTCCATCCCGTCTATCGCCAACATGCTATTTGACACCCCCCAACGCATGTGCCTCCCCGAACCCTTCCTCCCAGCACTCTATCCCTGAACACCCCATTTCTTCTCAGCGCTCTCCCACCAACACTAATCCCCCCACCCTGTGGCGCCCCCACCCCCACCCCACCTCCCTCCCAACACCCAGCCTTCTCTCCCCAGTCCCTCAGTGACAAAGGCCTCATCCTCAACATTCTTGAACCCTCCCCAGACCCTCCCCAGCACGATGTCCCCACGTGGTTCTCCTCTCCACCTTCTTGTCTCCTGTCTCCTCACAGCATCCGATCCTCACCTCCCTCCCTCCTTTTCCGTCACCTCTCCTGCCAAGGTGCCTGCTTTCAATACCCCTGTCCCCCTGGACTCACAGCCCAGCCCTGTATTCTAATGCTCGCGTCCACGAAACGTCCTCTCAGTACCCCAGATCGGTCCTTTCAACCACTTGCTCCCCAACGTCCCATCCTTCCAACGTCTCAGCCCTCTGCGCCACCCCCCCCGCACCGTACTCCACCCCTCCCTCTCCCCCAACATTCTCCTACCCAACTCCGCTCCTGCAGGTACGATCCGGACAGTGGGCATGACAGTGGTGCCGAGGATGCCGCGGTGGAGGCATCCCCGCCCTTCGCTTTCCTGACCATTGGCATGGGAAAGATCCTGCTGGGGTCCGGGACCAGCTCCAACGCGGGGCTGACGGGGCGGGACGGCCCCGCAGCGAGCTGCACCGTGCCCCTGCCGCCCCGCCTGGGCATCTGCCTGGACTATGAGCGGGGCCGCGTGTCTTTCCTGGATGCCGTGTCCTTCCGCGGGCTCCTGGAGTGCCCCCTGGACTGCTCGGGGCCTGTGTGCCCCGCCTTCTGCTTCATTGGGGGTGGTGCAGTGCAACTCCAGGAGCCTGTGGGCACCAAGCCTGAGAGGAAGGTCACCATCGGGGGCTTTGCCAAGCTCGACTGACCGTCTCTGGACCCTCCTGGGCCCTGGCCCTCCAGGCCTGCTGAGCCGGGTTATTCCTCCGGCAGCTTCTCCCCAGACTCTTCCTACCATGTCTTCCTGTCCCTTATCCTATATCTGTGTATTCCCGGGGCCTTCTCTTGAGCAAGGGACTCTCCCCTGCTCACCTTTCTAGACGTCCCCCATTCTCTCCATTGCCTGTTAAGCCAGGCCCCAGCCCCCACCAAGTCTCTGGCCTACGCCCTGCCCTTGGCATCCCACCCAAGTCACGGAGAGAGCCCCTTCCCCATTGCTGTCCTGTGCCCCTCCCCAGGCTGACTGGGAGGGAAGGCACCTGGAACACTGGGCATGACCCCCAGCTCTGTGCTCTGCCCTCCGTCCTGCCAAGCTCCCTGCCCCATCGATGCTGAGCTACAGCCTTGGGGCGGGCAGGCTTTTTGGGCAGACACTGCCCAGGCACTCCCTGGTGAGGAGAAGAGGACCCAGTCATCCTGCTTGACTTGTTGGGGTTCCCACAGCCCTCGACCGCATGCCTGTTTTTCTCCTCCTTCCTCTTGCATGCTTCACCCCCTCCTGCACCTATATGCCAACGTGCCAAGTCTCCCTGGGGGCCCCAGCGGAGGTTGGGTGTCCCTGGTGGGTTGGGCTAGGTAAGGCCTCTGGGGCCCACTGCTACCCCCTGCAGTGGGCACTGCCAGGTCTCTGCCAAGCAACAGCCGATCTTTTCATGGTTTCTAAACAATAAACGACATTGCCAGGCACACCTCTGCCTTCCCTGAGCCCGACCGTCCCTTTTCATTTCTGTGCTGGGCATGACACGTGGGAAAGAGCCGGGGAAATCCGCTACTGCTCAGAGCAGGGGTGCTCAGGGGATCTGGCGCCTGAGGGAAGGAGGTCCCAAGCAGGTGCTCCTGAGCCTCCTGCCACACACATTCTGGCTCAAGCCCCCGCCGATGGGTGGCCTACTGGGGGCGCATGGCCCTGGCGGCTGCTGGCCATGGCAGGGCCCAGGCCCCCAGGGCATGTGGTGAGGGGGGGGCACTGTACCTGGGCCCAAAGGGGTCAGGGAACCAAAACAACTTCCCCATTCCCAGGGTGCCTGGGGCACACCCCGCCAGCCAGGGAGGGGGCTCCACCAGGCGCCAGCATCCGGCTCTGATGCTGTGCTTATCACGGCCATGTTGACTCTGCCTGTTATCGCTGCCCACACACTTACTTCACACCCTGGCAGCTAAGATTAGAGCTTCTGGGGGCACCGGGCCAAGAGGAGGTGAGGGCGCGGCTGCCCCCAGCCCCCAGCCCAGGAGAGGGGAGAGCCCTCCCTGCAGGTGCAGGCGGAGCTGGGTCACACTGGCCTCAGGTCATGCTGGCCTCCAACTCAGTTTCGTTTCCTCCTTCCTCTTGTGCCACCAGGGATGGGAAGAGGTGACCTGTGGCCCAATGTCGTCTCCTCTCCACATCTCCTGCTTTCCAAATGAACCCTACTCTTGTCTTCTTTGCCCCCCCATCTCCCGCAAAGACCCCTTACAACCCCCCCCCACACACATTCTGTCCCCCCCCCAATCTAAGGGTCACAGATGACAGATCCAAAGTTGGCAGTCAGCACAGAGGAGGGCCCCGCTTTATTCAGCCCCGGTCTGGTCTGCACTTCCATCTCAGGGTTTTCTGGGCCGGGCTTCCTGGGAGCCACTGTCCCAGGCCTGTCCCCAAGGGGCTCGGATGGGCTTCAGCAGGGTTGACATCGGTTGAGAGACCTGGTGGGACTCGTGAGCAGCCCGCCTGAACTCCCAGCTCACCAGCCCTGAACAGAGTTGAGAGGAGAGGATTCTGGCAGTGAGGAGCCTGGGGGAGGCACGAGGCACTGGCGTCCCAATGCTCGGTGGTGGCGGCGGGCAACGTGCTCCTACAAGTTGGCGGAAGTGGCTGATGGGTTCGGGTTCACATAAGAGAACCCGCTGCCCCCGTTGCCTGCAGAGACCTAGGTGGGGAGAGGAGACCCAGGCTGAGAGGCGGTAGCTTTCCTGGGAGAAAGTGCCTCCAGGGCTCCCAGATCACACCCCAGGTCCGGGAGTCTAACTCTCAAAGGGTTAATTCGGAGGCACCTGCCAGGAACCACCGGCAGCCAAGTGACTGTAAACAGGGCCCAGGACTGCTCCTCCCCACTCTGCTCCCCTTCACTCCCTCCCCTTGGCTCTCATCAGCCCCCTTGTCCTCCCCTACTGCCCCCGTCTCCATCCATCCTCTGCTCCTCCAGCCCAAGCAGGTGTGTGTGTGTCTCTGTTGAGCTGGGACAAGGAAGTCCCCGGGGCGAAGGAAAACAGGGTCGAGGAAAGGAAACTCCCCTCCCCCACCCGCAGTGGCTCTCCAGCCCTAGGTGGCCGAAGTAATTATTTACTAGGTCCTGGAGAGAAAGGCCAGGTGAGGAAAGAAGGAGGAGGGCTCCTTGCTTCCTCGGGCCTCCCAAGAACCCCATGGCACCAAGCTCACGTGGCTGGGTGAGACTTCCTCCCCCACACCACACACACCCCCCATTCCTGCCGGCCTTTCTAAATCGACCCTCCACTCCTGGGAGCTGAGTGGGGCAGCACAGGCGCTCATTCTTTTGGGAGTCCTGCTGGAGGGTTCCCCTGGCGCTGTTCAGCAGACCAGCGAATGCTGTTTTGGAAATGCTGGTCGTGGGGACGCTCTCTCTCGAGATCCCCTTCCTCCCAAGGTCCCTTCCCCAGGCCTTCCCCCGACCCCAGCCCCTCTGACCCCGCCCCCTTGCCAGGCCCTCCGCAGCCTCTCTCCTCTTCTAGGTTCTCTGGGCTTTCAGAAGCCCTGCCCAGCCCAGGCTCTGCCTCCCTGCCCCTGGGGGGACCCTCCTACCTCCTCATAGGGGCTGCGTGTGCTGCCTGGCGGCACATAGCGCCCATGGGTGTGGTAGGTCGGGTACTCGCTCATAGGGTGGTAGGCGTCGTGGGTTGGAAAGAGGTCCAGCTGCCTACAGTCCTTCCGACAGCACCGACACACAGCCTGGGGAAAGGACATAATGGGGGTCGTGGGGTTCCTTCCAGCAGGGGACCTCTGGTCAGGCCTGGAGACCCAACACTTACCAGGGCAATGACGTAGAGGATGGAGAGTGCAACCAGGACACAGACCAGAACCAGCAGGGCGATGCCCCAGCCAGGTACCCCAGAGCTGGACTGGCTGGCAGAAAGGAACGACATGTCTTGCACTAAACGGAAACGTAGTGGTCAGAACCTTCTCCCAAAGGAGGTGACCCTCCTCCTCCTAGCACCCTGGGGAAGAGCAGGAGCCTGGGTGCTGGAGAGAGGGGCCCTGCAGGCGTGGTGCTGGGCGGCAGGCGGGGACGGTGGACTCACCGCTAACACCTGAAACGGACAGGTTATATTTGGCTAGCTCCTTTCTGTGCTCTTCAAACTGTGTCTTCACGGCGGAGGCATCGGTGACACCCTTGCGGAAGGCCAGAATTGATTCCACCAGCACAGATCCTGCTCTGGTCACAGGGAAACGGGCCCAGCTTCAGGTCAGCCACGGGTCCCAGCTTCAGGTCAGCAATCCCCCCACGGCCGCGGCAACCTCCACACCTCCCCTCCACACGGTCCACACCCAGAACTGTACCTGAACTTGATGTTAGAGAGGCCCAGAAAACCTTCCTGTTCATAAATCTGCAAAAACTGGGGTGAGAGGAGAAGGAATAAGGCTTGAGGCAAACAGGTCAGGCAGTTTGGAGGCTGATGCGGGGGGAGCACGGAGCACAGGAGAGAAAAGACACCTACTCACCAACTCAGAAATGTTTCTCTGCAGCTCCTGGTAGTATTTGGTGCTGGGATCTTCCAGAGAAGAGTTAAACTGAAGATTCAAAATGGAAAAGGACAGGAAGAAGAAGGAGATCCTAAGAGACAGCAGGGGAGAAGTGCTACGATTGGAGGAGGTGGGAGGTTCTACACTACGATGAGTGCTACCAGCAATAGTCCTGGAGCTGTGGCTGGCGGCGCCGCTGGTCGGGGATGAGGTGCCACGGGAGTCTGGGGACGAGGTGCTCTGGTGCCCCCGGTTGGTGGTCGAGCCCGAGGCGGGGCTGCCGGTCGGGGATGAGGTGCCACGGGAGTCTGGGGACGAGGTGCTCTGGTGCCCCCGGTTGGTGGTCGAGCCCGAGGCGGGGCTGCCGGTCGGGGATGAGGTGCCACGGGAGTCTGGGGACGAGGTGCTCTGGTGCCCCCGGTTGGTGGTCGAGCCCGAGGCGGGGCTGCCGGTCGGGGATGAGGTGCCACGGGAGTCTGGGGACGAGGTGCTCTGGTGCCCCCGGTTGGTGGTCGAGCCCGAGGCGGGGCTGCCGGTCGGGGATGAGGTGCCACGGGAGTCTGGGGACGAGGTGCTCTGGTGCCCCCGGTTGGTGGTCGAGCCCGAGGCGGGGCTGCCGGTCGGGGATGAGGTGCCACGGGAGTCTGGGGACGAGGTGCTCTGGTGCCCCCGGTTGGTGGTCGAGCCCGAGGCGGGGCTGCCGGTCGGGGATGAGGTGCCACGGGAGTCTGGGGACGAGGTGCTCTGGTGCCCCCGGTTGGTGGTCGAGCCCGAGGCGGGGCTGCCGGTCGGGGATGAGGTGCCACGGGAGTCTGGGGACGAGGTGCTCTGGTGCCCCCGGTTGGTGGTCGAGCCCGAGGCGGGGCTGCCGGTCGGGGATGAGGTGCCACGGGAGTCTGGGGACGAGGTGCTCTGGTGCCCCCGGTTGGTGGTCGAGCCCGAGGCGGGGCTGCCGGTCGGGGATGAGGTGCCACGGGAGTCTGGGGACGAGGTGCTCTGGTGCCCCCGGTTGGTGGTCGAGCCCGAGGCGGGGCTGCCGGTCGGGGATGAGGTGCCACGGGAGTCTGGGGACGAGGCGCTGTGGTGTCCCAGGTTGGTGGTCGAGCCCGAGGCGGGGCTGCCGGTCGGGGATGAGGTGCTCTGGTGTCCCCGATTGGTGGTCGAGCCCGAGGCGGGGCTGCCGGTCGGGGATGAGGTGCCACGGGAGTCTGGGGACGAGGCGCTCTGGTGTCCCCGGTTGGTGGTCGAGCCCGAGGCGGGGCTGCCGGTCGGGGATGAGGTGCCACGGGAGTCTGGGGACGAGGCGCTCTGGTGTCCCCGGTTGGTGGTCGAGCCCGAGGCGGGGCTGCCGGTCGGGGATGAGGTGCCACGGGAGTCTGGGGACGAGGCGCTCTGGTGTCCGCGGTTGGTGGTCGAGCCCGAGGCGGGGCTGCCGGTCGGGGATGAGGTGCCACGGGAGTCTGGGGACGAGGCGCTGTGGTGTCCCAGGTTGGTGGTCGAGCCCGAGGCGGGGCTGCCGGTCGGGGATGAGGTGCCACGGGAGTCTGGGGACGAGGCGCTGTGGTGTCCGCGGTTGGTGGTCGAGCCCGAGGCGGGGCTGCCGGTCGGGGATGAGGTGCCACGGGAGTCTGGGGACGAGGCGCTGTGGTGTCCCAGGTTGGTGGTCGAGCCCGAGGCGGGGCTGCCGGTCGGGGATGAGGTGCCACGGGAGTCTGGGGACGAGGCGCTGTGGTGTCCCAGGTTGGTGGTCGAGCCCGAGGCGGGGCTGCCGGTCGGGGATGAGGTGCCACGGGAGTCTGGGGACGAGGCGCTGTGGTGTCCCAGGTTGGTGGTCGAGCCCGAGGCGGGGCTGCTGTCCCCTGATGTAAGAAGTTGAGGTCACGGGGTTGGGTTAGGGGACAAACCAGAACGAGGAGGAAATACATCGAGGAGGAAATACATCGACTGACATCCTGAGCAGTAATGGCACAGGAAGATCTGGAGAGTGGGCCAAATCCTGGGTAGACCCTCCTCCTCCTTCCTGACTGACAGCCTCCCTCTCCCCACACTCCTCTGCTCCTAGCTGTCCGTTTCTCCACTCCTAAAACCTAACCTCCCCTGACTCCCCGCTTGCTCCCCAGACTTCGCTCCAGGTCATTGTACTGCCCCTGGCGCCAGCTCTCTGCAGGGGCTGACTCTTCCGTCTGTCCTTAGCCTCTCTCCTTTCTTCTGGCACAGACTGGGTTGCTCCTGCCTACAACTTCTGCCCCTTGGGGTACACCTGCTAGCAAAGAAAACCCACAGAAAGGCTGGGAAGACGCCATGAGCAAGGCAGCCCCCTTCCCACCTTGTGCCCCTCACCTGTAAGCTGTTGGGCTACCAGGAGCAGGAGGAAGAGAGGGGCCTGGAAGCCCGGTGTCATGGTGGTGGTGAACCGGGTGGGGAGGGGCAGAGCAGTGTCCAGAACGCGCTGCGTGTGAGGTGGGGCGGTCACAGGCACCTGCCGCTTTATACCGGTCCCTGGCCCGCCCTAGGCTCAGCCAAAGCAGGTGACAGGGGACAAAACCCCGCCCCTCCCCCCTTCCCTACCTCCTGCTTCCGCCTCCTCCCCAGTCATTCCTGGCCCCTCAGGTGGGAAACCTGGGCTCCAGCCACTCAAGCCTCTGACAACCTGTTTGTTCTCCAAGTGGTCTCCTTCTTTCACCAACCACTCCCTGGCTCCAGAAGGCGGTGAAGGGTGGGGGGAATCAAGGCCCTGGGTCTCCCAGGCTCTCGGTTTTAGCCTCAGGGCGACAACCAAGGCGAGAAAAGGGTCAGAGGAAGTGGGCTAGGTCAGGCTCCTGGACAGCAGGCCGAGGAAGCTCGCCCTCACGTCCCTCACCGCGCTGCCACTCTCACCGCACCCCTCGAAGCCCCGCTGTGGGGGCTGGGGAGGAACGAGAAGCCTCGAGAAAGGGTGGGCTGGTGCCCCTTTTGGACCCCCGCCCCCCGCCCCTTCCCGGAACCGCCGCTCCTCGCCCTGTCCCAGCCGCTCCCCGTCCCGGTCCGCACGCAGATCCACCGAAGCCCACAGTCCCCGCCCCTGCCGACGCGTTCAGCAGCCGGCCTTCCCGCCTCGGCTTTCTCCCGAGGAGGGGGCGAGGGAAGAAAGTTCCACTTCACGCTCCACGGGACCGCAGGGTCATTCCGGCCCGGTCCTCCGCCAGGCGGCGGGCCGGGCTCTCCCGCCCCCTGGCGGCCCCCGGGAGCCTGGCGGCCGCGCGCGACAACGCAGGGACGCCCGGGTCGCGGGAGGGGCCGGAGCGGGGGGTGGGGGTGGGGGGTGGGGGATGGGCGCGCGGAGCCCCGGCGCGCAGGCCAGGGGCTCGGACGCGGAGCGCAGGGACGCGCCGCTCCGTGGGCGGAGGGGCGGACCGCCACGGGGACCCCGGGGCGCGTGGGGGCGGAGTCCGGAGGAGATGGCGCTCGGGGGGTGGGGTCCCGAGGTTCCGGGAAGGGGCACCGAGGTGTACGGGAGAGGACAGCGGAATGCGGGAGGGGACATGGGGCAGGTTAATGACGCGTTTACGAGGCAGAGACTAGGTGGGGCAACAGAATGGTATTTGGGGCCCAGAGCTATCGTGGGGAGCACAGTGCAGTTGGGGGAGGCAGGCACGTGGTGGTGACCAGGGGACTGTACGTGAGGGGGGGATGGCAGGGGAGAGGTACGAAGGGCAGAAACGTTCGGGCGCGGGGAGGTATTTGGGGCACAGCGCACGTGGAGCGCGGGGTCGGGCTCCCTCCGGAGGTTACATCCCCCAGTTGCGTCCGCATTAGGAGCAGTTCTCGGTCGCAGCGAGTAGACTGGACAAGGGACTTTGGTAACACTTCGGTGCGCGGGGCTGGAGGGAAGCCGGGCGGCAGGCGCGGGGGCGCGGAAGCCCCCCCACCCGCCCGCGGGGGACGGCGCAAGCATCTAAGTGGGCGGTCCCAAAACGTCTGCCCCGGCGTTGCCAGGCAACAGCCATTCAGTCCGGTTGCTGGGACACGCGTCGCCATGGCGACGGCTCCGCGCCACGCACTCCGAGTATTTAAAGAGCAAGCGCGCGCAACGGCTGGGTGTCGGAAAGCGGCTTTCCGGGCCACCGCGGTCTCCCCCCGGCACCCCCCCCACCGTCCGCTCCCCCCTCGTCCAGGCGCCAAGTCTCTGGCATCCAGGGTGGACCCAACTCCCCGGCGCGACTCCGGTTCTGGGGCTGGTCCGGCTGCAGGCGGTGCGGAGCGGGATCCCGGGCCCCGGGCGGGCGGGAGGGACGGGACGCGGTGCAGTGTTGTTCCTTCCCCCGCCAATATTGCACTCGTCCCGGCCTCCGGCCCCCCCGGCCCCCCGGCCTCCCCCTCGCCCCGAGCGGGCCAGCTCCAGCCCTCCTCTCGATCGGGACGACCTAAGATAGACTGGAGTGTCGCCGCTGCCACCGTGAGTAAGTGGGGCTGGGAGGACTTTAGCCACCTTCGGACTAGCCCCTCATCCTTCACCTACCCCAGTCCAGCACCTTCCCTCCTCCACCCGGCCCCACACACAGCCAAACTGCTGTAGATCTCCAGCTTTCATCCTACCAGCCCCCTTCCTCACCCCCTCAGGTTCCTTCCTGCTCCCCACACTATCCCAGAAAATCCCTAAAATAAGCAACATGCACTAGCTTAGAAAACCACTGGAACTTTATGGCAATGTGGTGTTATCTTTCCTGGGGTTAGTGCCTGAGAAAAATATCCCTTGAAAGCTTCCCAACTCCTGAACAGTGGGGTCCCACCCCTCTGGGGCTAAACTCCTGTGGGTGCCAGAGGGGGGGGGTCTGTGTTTGGCTGAACTGCTGCAGATTAGACCCCAGCGTCTCCAGGATGGACCCCAAGGCCAGAGGGTCTAAAATCAGGATTCTGAATCTGGTGGCCACCTCTTCACACTCTTCCCTGGAGCAGCTGCCTCCGGAACGGCTCAAAATCCTCGGGCACGGTGTCTGAGGAGGCAGAAATGATGACGGTCAGAAGATAGGACTCTCCCACGAGGGCGTCGGAAAGGTCAGGCTGATCTCAGTCTGGAGTCTCACCATTGCATCGGTATTGGAGATTGGACCAAATGATGTTTTCCTGGGAGAAGCAGAATACACCAAGACGCCCTCCCCGCATGGCTGTATCAATGATCACCCCAGAATCCGCCACTAGCTGAGGACCCTCGTAGAGCTTCACCCTGTCCAGGATAGGTGTCCATGGTGCTAGGATGCCAGTGGGCACTGGGCCATCAAGCCCAGGCCCCTGCTCATCCCCAACCCCCCTGGAGCTCACCGGGCCAGAGGGAGAGAACGAAAGGAGGGAGAGGGAAGAAGGAAAGGGGAGGGACACGGGTGCTCTTCTCAGGCCTGGGGCCCCAGCCTCTTTGTCCGCCCCCTTTGCATCTCAAAGCACCAGCCACATTCCAAGCGAGGATTGGGTTGCCATGACAATGAGCACAAAGGGCTGGGGGGTGAAGTCACCCGCTTCCCAGGCTCTAGTCCACCCTCCCTCATCCCCTGCCCTGGCACCCTGCAGCCCCAGGCACCTTAAAGGGGAACCAACCCAAGTCCGTGGACCCTGGGCTCTTGCATTTCCCCTCCCTTCCCTGTCATCCCCACCAACTAGGAAATGCACAGGGGTGCACACAGCACTGAACTGAGAAGTCTTAGCCCTGCTACTAAGAAGTGTGCAGTCTAGGCCTCGGTTCACTCTTCTGTAAATGACGACCCCTTCCGGGTCAGACACTGTGATGGGGCGGCTTCTGGGATGTACCAGAAGGGGCTGGATGTGATGGGCCTCTCCAAAGACTGGCCTGTGGTTTAGAGGCTCCCAGAGATGCCCTCACTTTACAGAGGGGAAAACAGAGCTCGGACGAGGAAGGACTCGCCCGACATCACCTATAGGTCCTAGGTCGCACCAGCACCAGGGCCCAGGCTGCCTGAGGCGGAGCAGGGCTGAGGTGGGACATGTGCGGCGGGAGGGGAGAGGGAGAAGTGGTCCCGGTCCCAGCCCATGGCACCGAGGAGTGGAGCAGAGGGGAGCAGAGGGGCCGTCACTGGTGAGTCCCAGCCAAAGGTGAGCGGAGCCTGGCCTGGGTCCCTCAGGAGGGCTCGCCCCTCCCTCACCGGATGTAGCCCACTTGAGGCCGGTGCAGCAGCTGCCAGCGGTAGGAGGTCTTGTCACGCCAGCCCACGTTTCGTGGGTCCGTCCACAGCAGTCGCACCTGATCAGGGGTGTGGCCAGTGTGCCACAGGGCATTCCGGAGGTGCTCACCTGGGCCGGACACTGACGTCACTGCCTGGAGGATATTGGCAAAGATGTTGGATCACCCACAGGACCCAGACCGCAGGCTGGGAGGTGCAGGTGGAGAAGGAAGGCAAGGTGGGCGGGAGAGCGTTCTGGAGTCCCGGGGAGCCAACCTCCAGGCCAGGCGGCTGAGAAAGAGGCTCCCCACTCAGGCAGTGGAGAAGCCCTGGGGCCAGCTCAGGGAGGCTTTGGGGAAGGGCCCTGGACTGGGGCTCCGGGCAGCCGCAGACCTTGAGCTGCAGCCCCGGCTGAGCAACAGCCCGGAAAGGTGTGGCCTGCCAGTAGGTCTGCTCCGTCTGCTTCCACATGACCACGTAGAAGCGGCCGCTGTCTTGATAGCTGAAGAGAAAGCCTGCATAGTCATCATCAGTCACCGTGTTCACGTGGAAGGTGCCTTCAAAGTCCACACCATTGAAGGCTGTATATCCTGGGGGGCAGGTGGGGTCAAGGTCAGGGCAGCAAAGCCACCATCGGCCCACGGCGGACTCAGGGTGGGAAGGGATGCCTGTGACATGTATGGCCAGCTTGGCCCCCACCCTCTGACCCTGTGGGATTCCTCCATGTGGAAAGGATCAAACTGGGTGCCCCATACATACCAACTGCCAGGCCGGGGTCACTGTTCATGGTCTGAACGATTTCCATGCCCTGGGGGTGTGCAGTGAAGAGGAAAGCCCTGTTCCGGGTACGCGGCCCCACCTGGTAGTCTGGTCTGAAAGCACCTGCCCAGCCCACTGCCCAAGTACCTGGTTGAGCACGACCCAGTTTGGATCAATCTGAGCATCACCCTCAGGATCCAAGACGACAGTCTGATAGGCCCGGAAGTCTGTGAGGGTCACCTCTGCACTCTCAGGGCACACGTCCAGGGGGTCGACCACTGCATCATTGTCAAAGTCATCCTCACACACGTCCCCAACACCATTGCCTGGGCAGAGCGGGGCCAGGTGCTCAGGAAGGCCTGGCCGTGGCCTCCAGACAAGACTACCCCCCGTCGGGCTTTGTCTTCCTGGCTTCTCCCCAGCAGCACCTGCCTCCTCTCCCTGGGCAGGGCCCCCTCCAGTGCAATCCTTTGTGGGACCCCAGCCTCACCGTCTGAGTCCTTCTGATTGGGATTGGGTACCAGGCGACAGTTATCAGGACCAGGAGGCACGTAGTCTGGGACCCCGTCATTGTCATCGTCCCCATCACACTCATCTCCAAGTCCGTCATTGTCTGAGTCCAGCTGAGAGCTGTTTGGCAGCTGTGGGCAGTTGTCCTTGGTGTCCTGATGTCCATCCCCATCGCTGCCCAGAACAGGCACCAAGTAAAGGCTCTAAAAGTACCACATCCATGCCCTCTCTTCTGCTCAGAAGTCTGGGGTGTGCCCTGCAGTCAGCCAGGTGAGGCGAACGTCCAGCAGCAGGAGTGGAGGCTAGACTAGGGGAGTGACTTCCTGCTCAACAGTAGTGGAGAATCAAAGCTTAACCGTACAGGAAACAGAGAATGTACTGCAGGAAAGTAAAGGAACCCCGGGAGGACCGTCCGTCTCTTGGCCCACCCTACCTGTCCTCGTTGGTGTCACAGACATCCCCTACCAGGTCGCTGTCTGCATCTGTCTGAGAGAGGGGGGCCGTTCTCACCATCTCCTGATAACTGAAGACGATGGCCAGACGCTTCCCATGGGAAGGGCTGGGGCCTCACCCCCAGGCCCTCCCGCTCCCTGCCCTCCCCACCCCTGTACCTGCGTAGGATTGCTCATCTCAGGACAGCTATCACAGGCATCTCCCACCCCGTCCTCATCCCTGTCTGTCTGCAGGGGGTTGGGGACTTTAGGGCAATTGTCCAATCCGTTGGGGATGCCTGCAAGACGTGCAGGGGGCACAGGCCTGTGAGTACAGCAGGTGGCGCTCTTCCAGAGCTCATCTCCCGCTAGGACAGCTGGGTGGGGAATCGCCCGTGCCCTCTGGCCTGCTCCTGCCCCCTGCCTCACATTTCCAGGGCACTCTGCCCACCCAGGCCTCCCCCTGTGGCCGTCAGACTGCCCAACTGCCCTTTCTTCCCACCGGCACCCAAATCCACACGGGCCTCCCAGTCCCCAGCCCCAGCGGCACCGTCCCCATCCACATCGTTGTCACACGCGTCCCCTTCCCCGTTGCCGTCCGTGTCCTTCTGGTCATTGTTGGGAACGTTGGGGCAGTTGTCACAGGCATCCCCGAACGAATCTGTATCAGAGTTTTGCTGGTCCTTGTTGGGGAAGAGCCGGCAGTTGTCCTGAGGTGAGAGGAAGAGTCAGGCCTCCCTGGCCACCTAGCCCTCACCTCGTCCCGTGCACGTGTCTGCAGTCACCACGACGTGCCGGCCCGCCCACCCGCCCTCCACGGAATCCACCTTGTCCTGGCACAGGGTTTATGCCTCCCTAACTGAGCACTGAGGTCCTGCAGAGCCGCCAGGGACCAAGGGGGGACAGGGTTATGGGACAAGGCATGGAGGGGAGCAGAGGAGCTGAAAGGGACAGGACTGCCAGGAGCCACCTCGACATTCTTGATCCCATCCCCATCGGCATCATCATCACACTGGTCCCCCACGCCATCGTTATCAGCATCTTCCTGCCCAGAGTTGGGTGTCAAAAGGCAATTGTCCTAAAGGTCAGGGGAGGAAGAGGCAGGATGGGTTGTGGCCTGCCCCAGCCTGCGCGCTCACCACTGCCCGCCTGCCCCAGGCTGCCCCCCCGCCCCCGCTCCAGCCTGGGCACCCACCCCAGCCTGCCTGCCCCAGCCTGGGCACCCACCCCTGCCCCAGCCTGCCCCCGCTGCCCCGCCCCAGCCTGGGCACCCACCCCAGCCTAGGCGCTCACTCCTGCCCCAGCCTGCCTGCCTGCCCGCCTGCCCCACACCTGCTTGCAGTGTTTGTTGTTGTCCATGCATGGCAGGGCCTGGTCCGGGTAGCCATCGATGTCTGTGTCGGTCCCACACACATTCCCATTCCCGGCCCAGCCCACGTTACACTGGGCAACGGGAAGGGTAGGAATGAGGGCCAGGGCCGGCTCCTCACACCCCAGCCTTTTCCTGCTCCAGCCCCCATTCTCACCAACCAGTTCCTGGGCCCCTTCCCATGTGGGCCCCCATCCCAGGCCTTAAGCGGAGTCTCCCCTTCCCCCCCAAGCCCCAGGCCTAGCTCACCGCGCAGGACACTGCCCCGTTGCGTTCGAAGAGACAGTGCGCATGGACGTGGCAGGGGCTGTGGGCTGGGCTGTGGCAGGTGCGGGCTGGGAGGCAGCCCTGGCTCTGGTTGCCTAGGAAGCCCAGGCGACAGGGGCCACACTTGAAGGAGCCCTAAGAACAGGGAAGCAGTGTCTCAGGGAGGAGGGTCAGCCCGCCGGGCACCCCGGACCGGGGCTGTCCTGCCCGAGGGGTGCAGAGTGGGCACTCCCAGCCTGAAGCCAGCTCGGGCAGTCATCGCCTTTGGGCTCTCCTGGCAGCCTTTCGAGGTGTATCTCAGCCCCAGTTTTCAAGTGAGGACTGACCCTCAGGAGACCTGCTAACGGTCACGGTAAGAAGCAGAACCAGGATTCCAAACCAGTGTGCCACGTCTGTGTGGCCTGCCCTAGGGAAGGAGGAGGGGGAGCAGCAGGCCTGAAGCGGGGTTCGCACACCCCAGCACTCCCGACACACTCCGGGCACTCGGCTCACCACAGTATTGGTGCAGATGGAGTTTGGGTCACAGCCACCGTTGTTCCCATCGTTGCATTCGTCCACATCATGGCAGACCTGAAGGGGCAGACTCTAGGTGGAACCGGACCTACGGCGGGTCCCCTCCAGCAAAGCCAGCGCACCCGCCCAGAGCCCCAGCCCATTTATCACAAGGACCCCGTGTCCAGCCCGTTAGCCCCTGGGCCCCGCAAGGCCAAGAACTCGTCTCCACGCTCCACTCGGCCTGACCTGTTTGCTGGCGCGGGCATAGTCGATGCCCACACCAGACACCCGGGTGCCTCTGTAGCCTCGAGGACAGGCTTCACAGTGGAAGCCGGGCACGGTGTTGATGCAGCTGGCCCCAGGGAAGCAAGGGTCAGTGTGAGCGCACTGCGGGACGAAGGAGGGGGTGGTCAGGCCCTTGCCTGTGCTCTCCCCACCTGGCCCCACTGCCCTCCCCCCCCACCCCCGGGCCTCCACGTGGCCCTCCCCCGACGTGGCCCTCGGTCTGCGCCACGACCCTCGTGCCCTCCTTCCTCACCTCTCTTCCTGTCTCCCACCGTCCTAAAGCCCGGGCTCCTCTCATCCTGGCTGACACCCACCCCACCTCCTTGGCCTCTCCTCACTCTCCGTGCCCTCGCAGGCTACCCTCCCCCACCTCATTGACGTCAGCGCAGTGGGTGCCGTTGCCCTGCAGGCCAGGGGGGCAGGGCCCGCAGCGGTAGCCGGGGTACTCGTACACTTCCATGCAGTCCACGCCTCGGAAGCAGGGGTTGGGGCTGCAGTGGGAACGCTGCTCGTGGAAGCCTGAGGGGTGGGCACGGTCAGAGCCACCCAGAGGTGGCCGTGCCAATCCCCGGAAGTGGAGCCCGAAGCCACGGGGTGGGGACCACGGGGATGCCACCTGGCGCCCACCCCCCTCTCCCACTCACCGCACACCTGACACTCCATGATGGTGTTTCGGATCAGAGACATTTCCTTCACCTGGTGGACAGAAGAACGGGGACAAGCCAGCTCCTCGCACCCACCACCCCATCCCAGAGCCAGTGCCGCCCCCTCCACCAGCGTGCTCAAACCTGGTCTCGGATATCATCGCGCAGCTCCACCAGGATCTGGTTGAAGAGAGTGAGCTGGGTGACCAGCGCCTTGGTCTGCTCACCTGCCAGAGCCCCGGGTGCAGAGAAGCTCAGAACTGGGCCACAGCCCTGGTCCCTCTTTGGGGTAGTAAGCCAATTCCTGCCCCTGCTGCCCACCCTGCCTTTAAACCCCACCCCTCTCCTGGCCAAAGAGGACTTTGTTTCAGGCCGCTGCCCAAGCCCTGGACCTCCTCCCCAGCCTCTCGCCCCTCCCCCCTCCTTGTGGCCTGCTCACCTAGGATGGAGTGGAGTGCGTTGGTCACTGGAGAGGAGAAAACACAGAGGGTAGAGACGTGAAGAGGGCCAGGCCGGTGAGGAGGAGGAAGGAAAAGAGGGGCAGGAACAAAGGCCTAGAGGAGTCTTGGAAGAAGGACGGGCAGTTGGATGGTAGGAGGGCAGAGGTGACGGGCAGGCAGCACCAGCTCTCCCCACTGGGTGAGGGACCCTCCAAGGGGGTTGCCTCACAGTCAAAACCCAGATCCTCCTGGTTCCCAGGCCTAGAAGCAGCAGAAGGGATCCAAGTGAGAGGTGACCCAGAGCAGGGCCAGGCCCCCAGTCCACTCCATTTCCGCTCCAGCCCCCCTACCAAGCTTCTGGGAGAAGTGGGCATTTTGTTTAGGTAAGAACCTCTGAACATCCTTGTCAGAGACACCAGGCAGATGGACAATGCTCAGACTGCTGGTGGGTGACAGCCTCCCACGAAAGCTAAGAAAGACCCAAGACCCTTCCCTGGGTCACCAAGACCAAGCAGTTAACTTTCTCACCCCCACACGGAGAGCTTGGGAGTTCTATTCTTCTCCTCGATCGCTCTATTTTCCCAGCCACCGTGGGAGGCGGGGCCACCTGAACAGGGAGACTTTTCGAGCCACGCCTCCTGGGATGGCTGTAACTTTTGGAGATCACAGAGCCAGAGGCAAAGGAGATTGGGGGTAACAGGGTCAGAAGCCCCAGAAAATGAGTGAGCCAAAGCAATGAGCGTTAAGGGGAAGACAAGGAGATGAGAACCAACAAAGACCACAGAAAGTGATTTGGGGTCCAGAACGTCAGCTCCGTGTTACCTGCACTGTGGATGGACTCGTCCCCCTGGAATGGACACTCACTCAGGGCTCCCACCCGGGCCATGGACCCGCCCAGAATCATTTTCATAGATTCCACGAAGCCCTGGGTGGGGGGGACAGGAGCAGAGTAGGGTGGGAAAATCCATCAGCTCCTCCTCCCCCTGCTGCTGCAAAATGCATCTGCAGGAACTCGGGGGCCCTCCCGCCCTGCTCACCTGCATCCTCAAATACGCCTTCTGTCCAGTCCGGATCTCCAGCCCGTCGACCTCCGCTGGAGGAATGGGGGCCAGCGCAGGGAGGCCAGCATGCTGGTCTCCCAGTTTGCAGTCCACATAGAGCTGCAGGGCAGGGCTGGGTCGGGCGGGGCCGCGGAGACGCAGGAGAGCCGTGTGTGTGCGCCCGTCGGCCAGGCCTGCTTGCTGGAGGCTCACCGCATGCGCTCTGCTGTCCTCTCGCTGGTACCGCACCAGGACTGCCCGGGAGGGGAGGTCAGTGCGGGCCCTGCCCCCCGCCCCGTCTCCCAGCTGAGCCTCGAGTCACTCTTCTGGACGGCATGCCCATCAGCCCCTAGGCAGCTATGTATCTCTCGCCACCTTGTATGTGATGGGCACGCAACAGATGCCTTTCAAACCGGTTCAGAGACAAGGACGTCCTTAGTCTTCAGTCACTCTGTCCCTTGCTAGGGTGGCAGCTGGTTCTGTACCCACGGGACTGCCGGGGATCTGAGGGGCTGCTGAATGCCCTTGCTGGGACACGTAGACATGCCTCTCCCTCCCCCAGGCAGCCCCAAGTACAAAACCCCCTCCCTACAAGTATTAGGCCTCACTCTCTTGTTTGGGTACCTGGCCTCCTGAGGCACCTCCTAAGCACCCCATTCCAGGCGCCCCTGGTGCCTGAGCACAGCCGGATGGGTCCATGGGCCCCCACGGAGCCCAAGGAGAATTAAGAGGGATATGGGAGTGGGGACGAGGGAAAGTGCTCAAGGGATCATCGCTGCAGGAAAGGAGATGCCCACCAGTCACCTTTGTTAATTTTGCCCACAACTGAGGCCTCCAGCCATCGTGTGTTGTCCTGGCGAGAGTAGAGGCCAAAGAGGACCCCACCCTGCTTGGGGGGCAGGCGGAAGGTGGACAAGAGGTAGATGTCTCCAGCAGTGAGCAGGGCTGCCCGGATCTTCTCTGCTACAGCTGTCATCTGCCGAGACTCGCCCACAGTCAGCAGGTCAATCACTGGCCAGGCAAGGATTACCAAGGTCAGAGAGAGGGGTCAAATGCCAAGGCCTGCCCTTTCCCCTGAGCCCTCAGGGGCGGAGCATCCTTCATCACTACCCCCCACCCCCGCCCCCAGGCAGCGTTAGTCACCTTCTTGAAATTCAATCCTTGCTGCTATCAGAAGACTAGGCGTTGTGCCTTCCTTTCCCTCAATATTGCCTACTGCCACCCTCTGGAACCCGAAGGCCTGAGCCTCTCGGAAATACGGAAACAGCGCCCGGCACAACTGAGATGCGCCCACCAGGTGGCGCAAGGGAGCCACTGTGCTGATCCCACGCAGAAGTAGCACCTGGTGCCCACAGCGCAGAAATGGAAAAGCAGTTTCTCTTTACGGGGCTGGTTTGGCTCATTCCACACCCGAACGCCCCTCCTCCCATCCTGGGGGCTCAGCACACACACTCTGGATGAGAAGAGCTGCCCACTGAGGGCTCCGACCCTCGCACTGTCTGCCTCTCCCCCACGGGAAGGTAGGACCCAGCTCCTCTGCCTCCCGTGTCCTGGCCAGTCTGTGGTTTCCCCTCCAGCCAGTAATGAATCCGTGCCTCTGTCATCTGCTCCAGCTACCTCTCCCACACCCACAGGCCCATCCCACAGCCAGACCTCCGGGAGAGCCCAGACCTCTCGGTCCCCACCCCCACCCTGTCCTGGGGCAGCCAGGAGCCCAGCGGGTGAAGAAGCCCACCTTTGCACTGCTCTCCCAGATCCTGGGCTGCCTGCGGATGCTCAGACACCAACCCAGCCGGGGCAGCCCTAGCATCCAGCTCCTGAATCCTCTGCCCCGGCCTCACGCTGACCCTGGCCAGTTCCTACTCACCCACCACCCTCTGGTGTTCACTCCTCCGTCTATGGCCCTAATTTCACCAATTCTTCCCTCCTGGTCAATTTCAGGACTCTCCCCTGGCCCACATGTTTCCTGCTACTCGGCTGGGGGCAAACGGGGAGGAGGCCCAGCGGGGTCTAAGAGGATGGAGACAGGCTTACCCTGCAGGTCCTGACTGGCAGATGCGAAAGTGCAAAGGAGGAGAAGAGCCAGGGCCCCTCGAAGTTCCTGCGTCTCCATGCCGCTCAGCTGGCTCACTACCCCTGGCAGGCAGGCGGCTGGGAGGGGAAAAGGCTAGGCGGAGAGAGCAGGAGCGGGGGGCGGAGGGACTGGAAGGGGGAGGTGAAGGGGGGGGCCATCAGGCGGGTGAGGGGGGGCTGAAACAAAGAGCTGCCAATCAGCCCGGAGGCATCCCCAGCCCTGGGAACCAGGGGCACTGGGGAAGAGTCTGGAGGCCTCCCTGCCTCCTGCCTCTCCCTAACGGTCCTCCCTCCCAGGTGCCTCCCTCCCTCCTGGCATCTCGCTGCTGGGGGCCACTACCGAACGCTACTGTTTTCTGTAAGTTACAGTCGGGGAAGGCAGGAACCCCAGGCAGGGGCAGTGCCAGACAGTGGGCATTATTCCACAACTGGCATCAGAGGATGCCAAGGGAGTGGTGCAAACTGGCTTGCTATCGTGCCCAGGGGATGCCCACATGGCTTGAACTTCGCTGCTCTGACGAAGCAAGTGCTCCTTATTGGGGTGGGGGTCCCCTGACACGTGCCTCATTCCTGGGAAAACGTGGAGGCCTCTGCTAGGAACTGGAGGGCCAGCCTAACACAGCGGCCAGTGAAGGGGTTGGACGGAAGGAATCGGGAACGAGGAAAGGGCCAGCAGGGCCGGGAGTAAGCCAGGGGGCAGGCGAGGGGCCGGGGCCAACAGGGAACACATGGGGTACTGGCGGGCAGGCCGTGACCCGGATGAAGCGGAGGGGCGCCTCGGTTCCCGTTACCCCGGCAACGGCCGCGAGCCCCACCCCCTCCCCCCACCCAGGCCCCAGCCCGACCCGGCTACGGCCGCCGCCGCCCCTGTTTTGTTTCCATGGCGACAGGCGGCGCGGGGCGGGCTCCAAACATAACGCGCTGTGGAAAACATGCGGCTCGGGGGACCCCCCCGCGGCCCCTGCTCCGGGCCGAGCCCCGCGGGGCCCGGGCGCAGCCCAGGCCGCGTGCAGGGCTGCGAGAAACCCCAGAGCCGGCCCGGGCGCGCGAGACCCGCTTCGCCGGGACCCGCCGCGCCCTCGGGGGTCCGGGGCTCCCCGCAGCCGGGGCGCCCAGCCTCCGCGAGGAGGGCCCGGCCGAGAACCCTTCCCCCCTTCGGGACCCGCCTCTGGAGCCGGCGGCGGCCGCCCTCCCCAGAAGCCCTCGGCTCCGCCCCGCGCCGCCCCGCCCCGCCTCGGAGCTCGCTCCGGCCCCCGCCTCCGGCGGCCCGAGGGGCGGGGCGGGTGGAGGGGGCCGCGCGCGGCCGGGCGGAAGCGCGAGGGGAGGTGCTTCCGGGACAGAGGGCGCGCAAGATGGCGGCGCCCATGGAGCTGTTCTGCTGGTCGGGGGGCTGGGGGCTACCGTCAGTGGATCTGGACAGCCTGGCCGTGCTGGTGAGGGGTGGCGCCACTGCCCTCTGCTGCGCTCTGGAGGCCTGGGCGGGGGGGGACCGAACTGGCCGATCGTCCGGATTTTGCCAGGGCGCCTCAGCGCGGGAGCACTGGGGGAAACTGAGGCAATCAAAGACTGTGCGTGGCCCATATGGGCTCGGTGCCCTATGGCTTAACAGCCTAGGTTTCGTGCAGCCGCAGCAAGAGGCCTGGTTGGGGGTTCAGGAAATGGGTCGTAAGTCCTTGCTCATCCACTTACTGGCTGTGACCTTGGGGCGATCCCTTCTCGTCTCTGAGCGCTGCTTCTTCATCTGGGGTTTACTGAGCCCGGACGACCTCCGGGCTCTCGGGCTCGGCACTCCTGTCTTCTCAGCCTCCCTTTCCTCCTCCTCACTGAGCAGCGTTTACTGAGCTTATTTATTGAGCCAAAAGGCTTACCGCCAGGCTCTGTGGAAAGAGCTTTGCAGTCAGAAAGACTAGTTCATTCATTCACTCATCCTTCATTTAATAAGCACGTATCAGGCCTCTTCCAAATACCGCACATTGGCACGCAAAGATGAGTAAGACTTAGATTCTCCCCTGCAGTTGTTTGCAGAACGGCAGACATGTTAGCAAATGAAAGTAATGTGTTCGGGTGCTAAGGTTTAAGTAGGAACAGGCCACAGAGACTCCCAGAGAAGGACATGGTCAGTGCTTCCAAGGAAGGGGATGTACTGGTTGGGAGGAACTTAGGAGGCTATGTGTACATCAGGTAGATGGCAGGAGAGGGGACAGAGGGGAGGCTTTGAGTGGCAGACCTGGCCACACTCTCTCAGCCCTGTGTTGCCCATTGTAAAATGGCAACCATAACGCCCACCTCTTCTTCTGTGAGGCAGGTACTAAGCGTAGCACAAAAGGAATTCAACAGATGTTACTTCTCTTCCTGATCCCCTCTGGGGGCCTCTCTGCCTTCTGCTTCCTTCCCTGCAGACCTATGCCAGATTTACTGGTGCCCCACTCAAGGTGCACAAGATCACCAACCCCTGGCAGAGCCCTTCAGGTACCCCATGTTCCTAGGGGGGTGAGGAAGGGGTGGAGCAGGAGACGGACAGGAATGTGGTGTAAATCCATATGGATAGGCAGCTAAGGGTCTGGTGGGCGTCCTTTTTTCTCAATGTCAGGAACTCTGCCTGCCCTCCGGACCAGTCATGGAGAGGTCATCTCGGTACCACACAAGATCATCACCCACCTTCGAAAAGAGGTAGGTGGCTCGGGAAGGAGGGCTGCCAGTGAGAGTGGTTCAGTCATTTCAGTGCAACACACCTTTATTGATAAATGTCGAGCTAGATGCAGGAGACCCAGAGCTTCAAGGAACACGTAGTCCGATGGGAGAGACACACCCAGAGCTGCTGAGAGCAGTAAAGCACTAGGCCAGGCATGAAGCTGGGGAGCTGGGGAGGCATCTCGAGGCACAGTGCCTTTTGCCTGCTGGGCAGGGAGGGAGAGGTGAACGGGCTGATGACACAGGGAAGGGAAAGGAGGGCAGAAGAGAACATCTGGCTCAGACGAGGCCCTCAAAGGTGGCTCCTGTCCTTCTCACAGGACTAGGTTGGGCTGGATATGGGGCTTAGGATGAACAAGGCTTCAAGCCAGCATGGGGAAGTGGAGGGAGTATTACAAGAGAACTAGGGATACCTTGACTGTGCTCTTCCCCCTGTCCTTGACTGTGTGACCTTGGGCAAGTTCCTTCACCTCTCAGAGCTTTAAGTTCCTTGTTTGTGAAAGGAGGGGGCTTAGGATCTTCCCAATGGCTCCTCATTCATGGGAACACTTGTCAGAAGTGGGGCCTCTTCTTCATTTCTGCTTTCCAAAGGGTGGAGGAGCTGGGGAATTCAGTGGAGGCTTGGGAGGCATGGAGAGAGGGGATCCAGGTAGAATGCAAAGTTCCTGGCAGGGACTGGGCCACTGCCCTGATTCCTTACGTATGAGCACAGCTTTTGCAGTTTCCAGAGTGTTCTCCTAACACAGCCACATTGAGAGAAGATTCTACAGGGGAGAATCTGAGGCTCAGAGAGATTTTTTTTTTAAGGATCATGTTCCAGAGGTTATGTGGGGACAAAACTTGCTCAGGATGTGGAGAGGGTTGCTGAGGACCAGACACTGGAGCCTACAAAGATGTGGCAGGCTGAGAGCTGGGGTACGGTTAGAATGTGTGTGGTGGCGCCCGGGCCATGGAATGAAATAGAAGAAATAGCCCTGGGCATTGAGAGAACAAGCCAAGGGGCCCTGGGCATGAGGAAGGCGTCGCCTAGTTCCTGGGGCATGGACTGAGGCCCACACGGCATCTGAGCTCCGCTCTGCCAGCCGTGTGGTGCCTGGACTGGGGAAGTTCCTGTTAGAAAGTCGCCGTCAGCAGGCATGCTGCCAGCTTTCTGTGGAGGCTCCGGGAGCTGCTCCTGGTTTGCGGCTGGGCCTGCCTTTCTCCCCACAGTGGGCGCCCGACCTTGATGGCCAGCAGGCTCTGAGGCCCAGGCTTTCCGCCAACAGCAACAGGCTACTGAACGGGCCCAGGCAAGGGGGCCTCAGCAGGAAAAGCTGCTTGCTCTACCTCTGCTACACTCAGAGGCCGTGAGGGTAGCACCAGACAGGATGCCTCCCTCCTTGGGGACGTGCCCTGGAGCCTCCTGGTGTCCGCCTCACGGGCATCTCCTCCACAGAAGTACAACGCTGATTATGATCTGTCAGCCCGGCAAGGGGCAGACACGTTGGCCTTCATGTCCCTGCTGGAGGAGAAGCTGCTCCCGGTGCTGGTGAGTGCGCCCAGACCTCCCAGCGTTCGTGGCCAGTAAGGGGGGGGTGGGGGGGTCATGGACACACTCACACACACGGAGGCCAGGGGCAGCACGGAAGCCCACCCTAAGTCAGGCAGCTGCACTGACTCAGACCTGCTTCCTCCTTCCTACCTCCCCAATCCAGATACATACTTTTTGGGTAGACACCAAGAACTATGTGGAAGTGACCCGGAAGTGGTACGCGGAGGCCATGCCCTTTCCCCTGAACTTCTTCCTTCCCGGCCGCATGCAGCGGCAGTTCATGGAGCGGCTGCAGCTGCTGGGCGGGAAGCACAGGCCTGAGAACGAGGAAGAGCTGGAGAAGGAGGTACCTCTGGGGCAGGGGGCTGCTGTAGGAGAGGAGCCCCAAAGACGATGGTCAGGAATGGGGCTGCCCAGGCCGGGAGGTGGCTCTGTTCCCGCAGCCGCGAGCCTGCCTTGTGTCCTCCCTACAGCTGTACCAAGAGGCTCGGGAGTGCCTGACCCTGCTCTCCCAGCGCCTGGGCTCTCAGAAGTTCTTCTTCGGAGATGCGTGAGTCTGTCTCCAGGGGAAAGATAGGTGGTTTGGGAGAAGATACGGGTTCCGGTGTCGCCGCAGGGACTGGGGTGGCTCAGGCGCCGGACGAGAGGTCCTTGGGACAGACACTGGGCCTGATGACAGTGGGGCTGTGTGTGAGGTGGGAGGGCTGCCAGGCATAGGGGGGGGCCGCAGGGCTGCGGGGCGCTCAATGTGCCCTTTATGCAGCCCCGGGATAGAGTCCCATTCAGGGCCAGGCTGGCGCCGCCTGGGGAGCCCTCCCCACGCCAGGTCCAGAACCGGGTGTCCTCTCCTCCCCTGGGGGCCCTCTGCTGCCAGAGCCCACCTCCCAGGGCCCGCTCTTCCTCCCACTCTGTCCCCACCCCTTCTGCCACAGTCTCTCCTCCTGCCCTCTCTCTCTGCTCCAGCCCCGCCTCCCTGGATGCCTTTGTCTTCAGCTACTTGGCCCTGCTGCTGCAGGCCAAGCTGCCCAGCGGGAAGCTGCAGGCCCACCTGCGGGGGCTGCAGAACCTCTGCGCCTACTGCACACACATCCTCAGCCTCTACTTCCCCTGGGATGGAGGTAAGGGGCAGACGGGGGAAGGGGTGGGCACCAGCCCTGGGGAAAGTGGGCAGGAGGCCAGGAACTAGCCCCCCACCCCCACCTTCCTTCCTTGTTCCTCAGCTGAGGTGCCACCCCCACGCCAGACACCGGTGGGCCCGGAGACTGAGGAGGAACCGTACCGGCGCCGGAACCAGATCCTCTCTGTGCTGGCGGGCCTGGCAGCCATGGCGGGCTACGCCTTGCTCAGTGGCATTGTCTCTATCCAACGGGCAACGCCTGCTCGGGCCCCGGGTGCACGGTCCCTGAGCATGGCTGAGGAGGATGAAGAGGAGTGACTTGTCCTCACGCCCCCGGGACTGAGTTTTCTACTGTCGTACATTCCAGAGGCCCCCGTGTTGCCCCACTGCCAGTACGGCTGGAAGTGGGGTGTCACTCCCGTAATAAACCTGTCCACGCTGACGGAATCAGACACTCTCTTCCTTAAGGGGCCACCGTCCTTCCTGGCCGCTGTGCAGGGGGCCGTGTGGGGCCCAGCCTCCCTCATGTCCTCCTTTCCTCAGCCGCCCCCCACCCCCAGCTTGTGTTTGTCCAGACGGTGAGCTCACCCTGGGCCCCAGCCCAGTTTCCACGGAGCCCGCACACAGCACGGGGGTGGGGCCGCTGGGGCTGCCCTGTCCTCTCCCGAGGGGCCTCCAGCCCCCGGCCCCGGCCAGGGGGAGTGAGTCACCCAAACCGCTGCTCCCCGGCTTACGTCACCTACGCTCCCCCCGGCCCCCCTAGAGCCTCCTCAGCCACACACAGCACGTGAGCCGACTCTGTCCCTTTAATGCCCACGCCGAGCCCGAGCCCGGGCCGGGCCGTCACTGGCGGCGCCACAGGTAGGTGTGGATGGAGTAGCCCGGGGACAGCGTCTCCACAAAGCCCACGCCAGGGTCCTCGATGGTGAGAGGCACGTCCTCGGGGGAGCTGGCGAAGGGGGGAGGAGAAGCTGAGCACCCGGCCTGCCGAGGCTGCCGTCCGGCCCCCGCTCTCCGGCCCCCCCGCCCCCGGCCCTGCCGCCCTCACCGGTTGAGCACCACCACGACCGCAGAGCCGTCGGGACGGGTCAGGGCCACGGCGTCCAAGCTGTTCTTCTCGCTGGCCAACAGCCCCACTCTCTGGGAGCCCTCCGGAATGAACTTGCTGAGGTGGGAACAGGCGCGGTCAGGCCGGGGCCCGCTCCCTTCTCACTCAGCTGAGAAGTCACTGTCCCCCTGCCCACCCCCAGAGCCCCGGCCAAAGCTGCGCCCTCACTTCCCATCCCCAGCGTCCGCTGACGCACCTGCTCACTTCCTGCGGGGGGTGGGGGGGCCACGGTGCCTCCCCCCGGTGCCCACCCCCCGGGGGGCGCTGTAGGCCCATGCACGAGATGCCAGGCCTGGTGTGGGCCAGGGGGCCCACCCTCTACTCACCTGAAGTGGCCGAGGTGATAGAACATGGGCTGTTTGTAAAACGTGTCTTTGGTGATGTCGACGATGATGGGGCTGTCCACAAAGTTGCGCACCCAGTTGGGCCCCCCTTCCAGGTTCAGGGCAAGGTTCCAGTCGGTCCAGCCAGCCACATGGTAGAGGAGGTTCTGCGGTGGGAGCAGAGCAGAGACAAAGGCTCCACGTAGGGTCCCCAGACGATGTCGTTACGGGTTGTGTGAGGAAGACAGGTGACAGGGGTGCCCCGCCCCGTGATGGGTGCTCTATACCCTCAGTACTGGGGGGGGGGGGGGAGGTGGGGGCGGGGTGGTGAGGATGGAAGCATCAGAAGAGAAGCTGAGAAACTGAGGCAGGTGGGGTGCGCCCGTCTGGGAGGGAAGGCGTGAGAGGGAATCGCGAGATCCCAAAACTTGCCCCAAAGAGCAAGTCAGCAGGGGACGGTTGGCGAAGAGGCCTTCCCTTGCTGAGACCAAGAGGGTCTGCGGTGGTGTGCCCGGTGGGGGCGCTGGGGGCTCACCGTGATGATGCTATGGCTGTACTGTCCCCCTCGGTCCCAGGAGCCCAGGCGCACACTCTGCTCCCAGAACTTGGAGCCCACACAGGCCTCGGAGGCGAAGAGCATGGTGTTGGGGAACAGGCGGTGCGTCTCCCCCAGGGTGGCTTTGGCTGGAGCCAGAAAGTCCAGGTACCAGTGTACGGCAACGCCACAGACGTACTTAGCCGCATCCGGGTCCGCCAGCACCTTTACCAGGAAGGGCAAAGGAGACAGGGGCCACTGAACCTGGGCCCTGCACAGAAGGTTCTGGAAGTAGCACCAGGCCCTGAGAAATGGGCAGTGCGGTGCAGGCAACTAGAGGGGCTTCAGGTGACAACCCTGGGGACCCCTGGGGCCCTGGAGATCCAGAGGAGGTCAGCACCCCAGGGGAGCCACCTGGGCACCTGGCTCTAGGCCAGGGAATTCTGGGAACCAAGAGTTGGGGCAGGGAAGACACTCTGGGCGCCAGCCACCTGGATGCCAGATTTGGGGGTCACCGGGATACTCCTGGAGGCCCTGGCCTTACCACCTGGGCCCAGTGAGGTAGCAGCAAGCGCTGGTCATCCAGGATGAGCAGACAGATGTTGTGGTGCATACTGTTGGCAAGGGCAGGACCCAGGTCCCGGGCGATGAAGTCTCGCTGGTGTTCGGGGGTGAAGCCCAGGCACTGGAAGGGGTACCCACTGAGCAGCCCTGCAGAGGGCTCGTTCTCCGCCGTCACTGCCCAGAACCGTAAGTTGTGCTCTGCATAGGCATCCAGGAACCTGGCAGGGCAAAGGGTGTGAGCGAGCCCGGCCAAGAAAAGGGACCAAGACCCTGGGGAACAGGAGGCCCATCAAGGGGGGAAAACTGACAGGCCAAGTCTGAAAGGCCCAGAAGGTAGAAAGGTGGTCTGAGGAGTCCAGTCTGGGGGTGGCCAAGGTCCAGGGGTGGGGCAGAGACGAGGGTGTCCAAGAGGGGAGCTGGTCCAGACCCCATGGCCTTGTAGCTCCCTTACTTCACAAAGTATCTGGCCCAGGTCTGGTGGTAGAGATCCCCGGGCCGACCCTTGAGTGACCCCTTCCCATTCACGGCCCCGTTGGTCTTCATCCACGTGGGTGATGTCCAGGGACTGGCGAACAGCGACACAGGGCGCCGGGCCAGCTCCAGGGCTTGGTGAATCAGGGGTATCTGGAGACCGTGCAGGTGAGGAGAGAGATTCCCAGAGCTGGAATACGGACAGACTGGCCCGACCAGTGCATCAGGCCTAGCCGTCGGCCCCCGCCCTGCCCCCCCCACCCCAGAACACAACAGAGCCGGGGGCAGGTTCCGCGTCTCTCCGCAGACTGCTCCGGCCTGAGGCTTCTCAGCCGGCAGGCATCGACTCCGCCAGGCCGAGTGCCCACCTTAAGCTTGACGTCCTCCTCAGGGAGGCTGAAGCCGCGTAACTCGAAGTCGTCAGGGGTATCATCGTACGTGTAGGTGCGGACGGAGAAGTCACAGCTGGCCATGGGGACCCGGATGATGTTGTACTCGATTCCTGCAGGAAGGCAAGGCCAAGACAGGAGGGTCTGGGTCAGCAGGAGAGTGTGGGACCTGGCCTGCCCCCTGCCAGTCCTAAATGATGTCCAAGGCAGGCCAAAGGGAGCCTGGGCTCCGGGGCTGGGGCCTGCAGAGCCAGGCTTTCTGAGCCTCAGCATCCCTACGCGCTCAGTGAGAGGCAGGCGGGACACTCTTACTTCACCGGGCATTGAGAGAGGACCCAAATGTCAGGGATGCGTGGAAGTCATGGTCAGCGGAAAGGTCGGGGTGCCAGTCACGCTGTCATCTTGTCCTCCTTTTCCTCACCTTCTTCAGAGAAATAGGATTTGAGCAGCAGATCCCGGGCAGGGGGTGACAGGGCGAGGATGTTGAGAGCAGCTGCATCTGTCATGGCCCCTCCAAAGCCCTTCACTTTCTGGAACGTCTGGCCTGGCTGCAGGGTCAGCAGCAGCCCTGAGAACACGCACAGGGAACGAAGGGTCTCAGTGCGCAGGGAAGAAAGTCGTGGTGGTCACTGGCATGACAGCTCCGGGGGGACCCCAGCCTGCCCTGGGGGCGGGGATGCCGTGGTCACCTGTGCCCGTGTGATTGGCCCGGATGGTCCCCAGGCTCTGCTCCATTCGGCGCCCGCTGCGCGTGCTCTCATACCGGCTGAAGGTGCCGGGGGCAGGCAGGGTCAGGGGCTCAAGAGAGTCGCAGTACGTGGCATTGCAGACACAGACCACTGAGCTGTAGCCAAAGCTTTTAGGGCTGCAGGGCCGGGCACCTGGGAGGGAAGGAGCACAAGCAGAGGCTAGGGCTACAGGACGAAGACTGAGAAGGGACACACAGGTCAGAAGGACAGACAACACGGATTTCAAAACTCCTCTCGCTGTGCCCCCACCCAAGCTTGGTCTCAGTCGCTCAGAAGGGTTTATTCCACACCCACTGGTGCTCCTGTATGCCAGAAGGGGACCAAGGACCATCAGGCAGACGGAGGCGGGGGGCTCCCTCCCCTCTCCGTGCCTCGCTTACCTGATGCCCATGATATTGCCTGAAGTAGAAGAAATCCCGTGAGGCTAGCAGCCATGATGCCTACCCTGCCCAGGGGCCGGGGACATTCCTGAGGACAGAATGACGACTGGCTAGAAGGCAAGCCCCTCTCCACGCCCAGCTGCCCTCCTGTGGGCTGGGTGCCCACAGCCTAGTCTTCCACCCTCCTTTAACAGGGCCAGAACAACGCCCACAGACTGCTGGGTGCTGCCCACCCCAACCAGGACCCTTCTCCTCCCCTCTTCCCACCGCCTCTCCCTCCACCCCTCCCCTGCTCCATCTGCCCCTCCGTCGAAGAGCCATGATGGCCTGGGCTGGAGGAAACTGTCATTCATTGAATTCCAGGGTCCGGATGGCCAGGATTCCAGAAGCAGCGTGACAGGACCGATGGGGAGCCTGGGCCCACTCACCTCTCTGGGAGGACCTGAAAGCTCCATCACCAGGTGAGGGGACTGCACGGTTCAAACCTCAGAAGGACGGAGGATCCACTAAATAAGAACAGGGATGCAGGTACCGGCAGGAGCTATAGACCCCGAATTAGCCCTGCAGGTTGAATTCCGGCCGAATGGAGTGGATGGGTCATGTGACGACTATGGGCGGGTCACATGATACAGGAAGTGAAGCAACGGCAACCATACGTGTAAAGGGCGGCTCGCTTCCTCCTGGCTGTTGGCGATTACTCATCCTGTGAAACTGGAAGGCATGTGTGGATGACAACTTTTTTTTTTTTTAAGATTTTATTTATTTATTTGAGAGAGAGAGAGAGAGCACATGAGAGGGGGGAGGGTCAGAGGGAGAAGCAGACTCCCTGCCGAACAGGGAGCCCGATGCGGGACTCGATCCCGGGACTCCAGGATCATGACCTGAGCCAAAGGCAGCCGCTTAACCAACTGAGCCACCCAGGCACCCCGTGGATGACAACTTTAGGAAGAATCTAGATCGAAGATCTGAGTGGACGGTTGGGTCGAGGCTCCTGAATCCCAGAGGATGGGAGCCACAGCAGGCACACTGCTTTCTTGACAAAAAAAATTTTTTTTTTTTTTTTTTTTTTTAAAGATTTTTTTTTTTTATTTTTATTTATTTTTTTATTTATCTGAGAGAGAATGAGAGACAGAGAGCACGAGAGGGAGGAGGGTCAGAGGGAGAAGCAGACTCCCCGCCGAGCAGGGAGCCCGATGCGGGACCCGATCCAGGGACTCCAGGATCATGACCTGAGCCGAAGGCAGTCGCTTAACCAACTGAGCCACCCAGGCGCCCTTGACAAAAAAATTTTAAGTAATACCTAATAAAGATGGGGCGCCCGGCTGGCTCCGTCAGCTGAGTGTGCGACTCTTGATCTCGGGGTCGTGAGTTCAAGCCCCATGTTGGGCACAGAGCTTACTTAAAAAATTAAAGGGGCGCCTGGGTGGCTCAGTTGGTTAAGCGACTGCCTTCGGCTCAGGTCATGATCCTGGAGTCCCGGGATCGAGTCCCGCATCAGACTCCCTGCTCGGCGGGGAGTCTGCCTCTCTCTGAACCTCCCCCATCTCATTCTCTCTCTCAAATAAATAAATAAAATCTTTAAAAAAAAAAGTGTCTTGCAAAAAAAAAAATAAGATAAATTTAAAAATTAAAAATAAAAGTAAAGTAATACTAATAAGGGTGATACTAAGAAAACAGGCTCAGCCCCAGAATACTGGGAGATGGCTAAGGTACAGTTTGCCCTCCAGAGGCTCTAGAGGCAGGGAAGTTGGACGTGTACACGGGTAGTTACAGATAAAGACGAGCTAACAGGTGTTCATGGTGGGAGTGACCCAGGAAGGCTTCATGGAGGAGAAGGGGCGGAAGAGCAGGGAGGAAGGGCCCTGGGCAGAGGGCCTGCACAGCTGGACAGAGGGAGTCATCAACATCGTGCCTCTTGGGACATGTTTTGTCATCAGATGAGGACTGTCATAACTGGTCTTCCTTTCCCGCAGAACAGGGAGGTTGTGAGGTTCAGAAACTGGAAAGTGTACACAGCTATATCCTCGGTGGATGTGAGAAGGGGGTTGTCCATGATGATGGCTCCTGGACCACAGCACCTACGATTTAGCGGGAGGGACACGCACAGCTAGGACCTGACCAGCTGTAGCTCTTGGTGCCAATTGCTCATCTATAAAATGGAGGCAATACCACTCCCCCCCCCCCAGGGTCACTCCTGGATCAATAAGATAAATACAGGGCCTGGAGCCTAGTAGGTGCTCAGGAACCACTTTTTGTGGTGTCTTTTCGGTTTAATTACTTCAATGAAGACTTTCCAGACACAGTCCAGGCAAAATTGATTCTTTCTTCTAGGTTCCTAGGACACTGAGCCTCGTCTCAGGGAGACAAGCCGGGTCTGAGTCCCAGCTCTGCCACGTACTGGGTGTTTGACCTTCAATCAACGTCTTCATCATGCTGAGCCATATTCGTTGCACTCCTGATGTGCCGACCCCTGCAATTTCCCCAAATGTGGGAAACTCGACTGCATAATTTGTGGTAGCGGGGGACAGCGCTAAAGTGGTTCAAGAGAAATGGTTATGATCTTCTTGCGGCGGAGAGCTTTCCAGTGGTTTTTCCCCACACATTTTCAGTCTTGTTTGGGAGTAGTTTCGCCCCCCAAGAGAAGCAGTGAGTCTTTGCGTGTGGAGAACCTAGCTCGTAGCCCTTCTCCGTCCTCCTTTCCTGGCCGGGAGGACATCGACCCAGCTCCCTCTCTCAGGGCAGAAAGGGCATTGGCTTCGGCCCAGAGGAGGATGAGTAGAGTCCATGAGGGTTTCTAGAGTCTATTTAGAAGCAGCACGGGCAGGTGCTCAGGAGGGCAGGTGCCCGGGAGGACAGGTGGCGGTGGGGGGGGACAGGTGCCCGGGACAGGGTCTGGGCATCTGCGCCCCTCCCCCCAAGGCTGTGAAAAAAAGAAAGGGAGTGGCAACTCAACCTCACAGAATTGTTGAGAGCTCTAAGCACGATCATGTGTATCTAGTGCACTGCTTGGCACCAAATATCGCAACAGGTGAGGTCTGTGTTTAATTCTGTGAAGGCACGTCTTACCCAGTCTATGCAGATGGCCAAGCACAGAGTGGGCAGGTGCCAAAGTGTTGAAATGAACTGAATCCTCGTCAGCAGGTCAGCACCTGCCCCACTCAGCTTCCTGCTTCTCCAGGAAGTGCTGCTCCTACAGAGGCCTTGCTGGGGGAGGGGCGGGCATAGACACCCGACACCTTAGGGCCCTCCGGTTCATTCATTCCACAGCAGGTGTTGAGCGTGGACTGCATCTGGCCCTGCCTGCCGGCTCGCTCGTAGCCGCAGAGCCCCCCGGCCCCGTCCTGTGTCACTGGGCAGGCGCAGAGTTTGTAAGTCTGCTGTTTCTTGGTCTTAACCCTTCAGTTTGAATGTAAATGTTCTCCAGCATGGGGGCGGCCGGCTGGCCCACTCCCTGGAGAATGTGAGTCTTGATCTCAGGGTTGTGGGTTTGAGCCCCATGCTGAGTGTAGATTGCTTACAAAAATAAAAGTCCTAAAAAATTATTTTTCCAGCACAGACACCATCTCATCTTTCAGATTTCTCTCACAGTGTGATTTGCTCTTGAGGCTTTTATATTTGATTTTTTAAATAAAGTTGGTGGGACACCTGGCTGGCTCAGTCTGTATAGTGTGTGACTCTTGATCTCGGGGTCGTGGGTTCAAGCCGCATGATGGGTGTAGAGATTACTTAAAAAAAAAAGGATATAAATAAAATAAATTAATAAATAAATAAAACTGGTTATAATAAGAGCTAATATTTATGGAGTGCTTATTCTATGCTACTTTATGTTCCCGGTCTCATTTTGTTCTCACAAGGCAGATACTACGATTTTCCCCATCTTATTTATGTTTATTTTTTGGATTTTATTTACTTATTTAGTTTAGAGACAGAGAGAAAGAAGGGGAGTTGGGGGGGGGCAACCAGCAGACTCCATGTTGAGCCCGGAGCCTGATGTGGGGCTTGATCCCACGACCCTGAGATCATGACCTGAGCCGAAATTCCAAGTCGGATACTTAATGGACTGAGCCACCCAGGCGCCCCTGTTTTCCCCATTTTAAAGATAAGGAACCTAAGACTCTGAAAGGTAATTAAATTGCCCAAAGTCCAGTGGCCATTCCGTGGTAGACACTGGATTCATGTCCAGAATCCCACGACACACACCACGTATTTCCTGAGCACCTCTGGTGTGCTAGACGCCATGCTAGGTGCTGGTTATTTTCAAAAGCTGCGGTGCTCGCATTGCTTTAAGTCATCCCGTGTGTTCACGGCGTGTTCTTCTCACCCAAGTTGAAGCCCGTGTTGGCTGCTAATGCTGGCTACGTGGTAGCATCTCTGGATTCCTTTTTTCCAAAGGCAGGGGTCAAGGCCTGCGCTTCCCAGTGAACCCACCTCGAGAATTCCCCGGGGGGCAAGGATGACTGACTCTCAGTTGGGAGGGGCAGCTCAGCTCCGCTCTCCATCCCGGGAGGCCTCAGCCCCAAAGCCTGAGCACTCCTCTCCATAACAAGTATTTCCTAACACACTTGTTCCTGTGCTGGAATGAATGTAAAGATAAGAGGACTTACTCATAGGGCGCCTGGGTGGCTCAGTCGTTAGGCGTCTCCCTTCGGCTTAGGTCCTGATCCCAGGGTCCTGGGATCGAGCCCCGCATCGGGCTCCCTGCTCAGCAGGAGGCTGCTTCTCCCTCTGCCGCTCCCCCTGCTTCTGCTCTCTCTCTCTCTGTGTGTCAAATAAATAAATAAATAAAATCTTAAAATAAAACCCCAACCGTTCCCTTTATTATTATATGATAAAGTCCTGCTTAAATTTAAAGGCTTAATTTTGATTTTTACTTTGACTGTGTTGTTGAGCAGAACATCCCAAAGTCAAGTGGAACGGGAGATGGGTTTTCCTCGTGCGGGACGGTAACGCGCCTTTCCTGTCCGCGCGCCTGCAAGTCCTCAGCCTGCCTCCGGAGGGTGGTCCCCACGAAAGACACCAGTTTTCAGAACGGCCCCTAGGGGGCGGCTGAGGACCACTGCCCGAGGGCGGCCCGCCGGCAGCGGCCGCGAGGGGCGCCCGAGGTGCACAGAAGCACTCCGCAGTCCTCTCTGCACAGCACTTGTAGGAGACTCCGCCGAGCTCCAGCGAGGGCAGCTGGGAACGAAAGAGAAGCCGAAGTACAAGAACAGCTGGTGCCGCGGCGCGGCAGCTCTGATCCCACGTCGCGCGGCCTGTGCGGGGCGGCGGGCTCGGCTCGCATGCAAGCTCCTGCGGGGAGACCGCAGGCAGCATCCCGTACGCTCCTTGCCCTTGAGGCCTCAGACCGGCTCCCCAGGGAAGGGACCCCTTCACAACCCCAGGTCACCAGCACCGTCAAGCCCGAGGGGCACTTTCTCATTCATGCACCGCAGAGCAGGAGCTCAGAAAGTTCTTTCTAGATGAACGAATGAACAAATCTTACCGGTCAGCTCTGGCTTCTGATCTGAACACACACCACGCCTTCTGATCACTGACACCAAAAATCACCTCTCTCTGCAGCGAGACCCGTTCTGCCCCTTACTCACTAGGGTGTGGTTTCATCCTTGGACTCATCTGATTAACCAGCCCCTTTGCCGCCAGGCTTATTGAGATACAACTGACGTACCACCATGTGTAAGTTCAGGGTGACCGGGGGATGCTTTGATACATGTATATACTGCAAAGTGATTACTACAATAAAGTCAGTTTGATTAACCAACTCTTCAACAATACCTACAGCATTCTCGGTAAGGCCCAGGGCAATCTCAAGTACCTGTGCCCTGCAGGCTATCCAAAAGTTCTCTCAGAACAACAGCCAATCTTTCCTTATGAATGCAACCCCTTCCTCCCAGAACCTGGGGCTCATCCTTGACTCTGTCCTCTCTCTGTACCCTTATCCCCATTATTTCTTCTCTGAACTACTGAAACATCTCTCTCTTGGTCTCCTAACCTCCAATTTTCTCTTCCAATCTGTTCCCCCAAAACTGGATGTTCTAACTAAAATACAAATTCTGAAGCATCCACTCTCTCTCTCTCCTAAAATCCTTCAGTGGCTCCACACTGCCCTTAAGAGAGGTTATGGGACCTGGCCCCTTGTCCCATCTTCATTTCTCAGGTCCATTTGCACCTCATGCTCCAACCACATTCCTCCAATAGGCTATATTTCATTTCACCTCTACTCTCCCTTTGGCCATGAGTACTTTCTTCTTCTCCTCTCTTGGGGAAAAAAAAAAAAAAGAACTCCTTTTCATCATTGAGGCCTGAAACTTAATGTTACTGCCATCAGAATCATCTTCCTGACACCTCTGACTGGGTTAAGCATCCTTGCTCTGTGCTCCCCAATTCACCCACCCAACAAATAATATAATTGAACATCTGCTATGTGCCACTCTACTAGGTCCTGGGGATACAACAATGAATAGGATGATAAAGTCCTTGGCCCTGGGGAGCTTATATTCGAGTGGGGATGGAAGACAAAAACCAGATAATTTCAGGTGGCCATGAGAATTACGAAGCACAATAAAGGGTAGAGCGTGCTGGACAGAGGGGACGAGAAAGGAGTTTGGAGGAAAAGGTTGGTTGCCACAGTCTCTGGGCCTTGGTGACCACAGTAATGAGTCTAAATTTTGTTCTAAGATGGAAATGCACTGGAGAGTTTGGTACAGGGAAGTGCCAAGATTAGATTTATATTTTCAAAATAACACTTTGGCTGCTGTGTAGAAATCAGACTGTGAGGGACAGCTGCAAGACGGGGTGACCAGCCTCCTCCCCTCGTTCTCCGTCCCTTCCGTAGACTGTCTTCCTTCAGCATGCAACACTCCTCTCCTCCAGCCAGACTCCTTCATGCTAATGCTGCTGACACAAGCTCACAGCCCTACACGGCTTGTGGAGTTTACCACGGCTGTAATGACTCCTACGAGTGCTCGCTCTGTCGGTGGGTAAGCCACGAGGGTAGGGACCAGTGCGTCCTGGTGCCCCGCCCCATCCCCGGCCCCGCCCCTGACCCCACCCCGCCCTATTCCCAGGCGGCGCCCCATCCCCCGGCCCCGCCCCATCCCCGGCGGCAGCCCGAGGCCGGCGCTGGTTCCGTGCGCCGTGTACGTTTGTCGAATGACTAAAGAATGGATAAATCATACAGACTTTCTTCCCACTCCACCTCTCAAAAAAACAAGTGGATGGAGAGCGTTTAAAGATTTCATCCGCCGGCGCCTGGGTGGCTCAGTCGGTGAAGCGTCCGCCTTCGGCTCAGGGCATGATCCCAGGGTCGTGGGATCGAGTCCCGAGTGGGGTTCCTTGCTCGGCGGGGAGTCTGCTTCTCCCCCTCCCTCTGCCCTCACCCCGCTTGTTCTCTCTTCTTCATTAGCAGAAGAGGGCCATCCCTACAATTAATAATAACAACGAAGATGAAAAGGTGAACTGCAAACGCAGAGGGGAGAGTCCAACAGCGCAACATCCAACACGCCTACCGCCGAGGCGAAACAGCAGCCTCAGCCAGAGGCAAAGCGAAACCCCTGCGCCGCCCGCACTGCGGGGAGGCCGGGCGGGGACACCGGCCCGCGAAGCCGGCGCTCGGCCGGGAAGCAGCCCCTTGACGCGCAGCCGCGGGAGTCGCGGGAGTCGCGGGGCGGCGGGGCGGGGCGGGGCGGGGCGCTGACGGCGCCTCGCATCGCTGGGAGGCGGGACGCGGGCCCCTTCCGCACGACTATTGGTCGTCTTGAGGACGGACTGCTCTCGCTGAGCAACCGCAGTCCAGATGGGGCGCAAGCGTATTCGGGAGTCTACGCGAAAGGGCGCGGAAGGCGAGAGGCGCGCATGCGCCTGGGCTGCGAGCCGCCCGTGACGAGCGGGGCGGGTGGTTTCCCTCGACAAGTGCAGCCCGCGGAGGCCGCGCCGCGTTCTTGAGCGTACTCCTCTGGGAGCCTCGCGACAGGGAACGTTCGGTGCCCAGAAGCGGCCCCGCTGGGAACCCCCGTCTCCAGCGCCTCCTACCACCGCGCTGCGGCCGGTGACTTACTGAAGAAGCCGTGCAGCCTGACGCCCTGCGCGGGCAGCGCGCCTCCCCCGCGGGCCCGCGGCTGCCGCGCCGCCCGGCTCTGCCCCTGTCGTAGCTGTTAGACGTAGCGCGGTGAGCTGAGCACGCGCGAGGTAATCCTAGGTAGTGCTGCGTGCTCGGAGCGACGTGGCACGGACGGCATGACGGCGCGGAGGCGAGCGGGGCGCAGCGGTTCGCGCAGCGGGCCGAGGAGGTGCGCGAGCCTTGTGTGAGGCCGTGCGGCTGGAGCAGAGGGAGACAGGCTGTGCACCTGGCCATAGTCTGCTCGGGAGTCTGGAGGGTATTCTCAGTACAGCGGGACCCCCGTAGACTCAGGCAGAACCTTGGTGTGACATGATTTCTTAGCGCAGATTTTTTTTTTTTTTAAGATTTTATTTGACAGAGACAGAGATAGCGGGAGTGGGAGAGGGAGAGCAGGCTTCCCACCGAGCAGGGAGCCCGATGTGGGACTCGATCCCAGGACCCCGGGATCATGACCCGAGCCAAAGGCAGACGCTTAACGACTGAGCCACCCAGGCGCCCCTTAGCACAGATTTTTAGGAAGAGTGGAAAATAGACCAGGTCAGAGGCTGGGGGAGAGGGGCGTGGCTTGAACCTACCTAGGTAGCTGGTGAAACGCCTGAATTCAGGATGGGATTGGGTTGTGCTGGGTGAGGGAAGAAATAAAATCAGGATGATTCCCAAGCTTTTGGAATGTGCAACCAGGTGAATGGTGCTGCAGTTTATTGAGATGGGAACAGGTGCCGGGGATGGGACTCAAGGTTCATTTGTGGTCACAGTGAGTCTGAGACGTCCATTGGACATCCAGGCAGACACGTCAAGTTGGAGGGTGGAGCTCATGGAGAGGGACCAAGGAGAGAGTTATGCATGGACAGGTAGACGGTATTTAAAGCCATGGGTTTTGCTAGTACCACTTGCAGGCAGAAAATAGGAGAGGGCCACGGGGAAAACCCTGGGTTCTCCAGCATCAGACGGCCCAGCAGAGGTAGAGGATATGGCAAAGGAGACCGAGAGGGTAGAGAGGAAAAGTAGGAGTATGAGGTCTTCAAAGACAAGAAAGGGCAAAATTCAAGAGAAAAGATGCGGATTATCTGGCTTAAAAGTTTCTCAGGAGTCAAGTGACATGCAGGCCGAGAAATGGCCATTGGGGCTTTTACCTTTTTTGGTTACTGAACACTTTTAAAGGGGCAGTGCCTAGGGAGGGGGGGGGATGGAGCCTGATGGGAGTGTTCTAAGAAGAGGAGGAAACGCAGAGAGAAAACATTTTTGCTATGAAAATGAGCAGAGATATAGACGGCTGGAAATAAATGCCTGGAGAGATTTTCTTACCTATGGGAGATACCAGAACAAATTTCCATGGTGACAAAGAATGACCCCGAGGAGAAGGGGGAAAACTGAAATTTACTGAAGGCTTATTTAGTGTATTAAGAGCTTTACAAACATTCATCTTCACAATGTTTTATAGATCAGGCAGTTGAGGTTAAATAATTTGCCCACGGTCATGCAGCTAGAGGTGGCAGATCCGAGAGCCACCCAGATTTCTCGGGCTCTTCATGCCTTACCACCCCATTGCACAGGCACACAGCCCCCTGTGCATAAGCACCGGGACATGCCTTTGCCCTGGCCAGAGTGCCCCTGTCCAGTCAGAGAGCTTGCTCATGCTGGGCTAGGGCTTTATTTTCCTCTTCCGATGCTGTAAGCAGGGGCCTCTCCCCACGCCAGCCTGAACACCCAAATACCCATGCAGCACAGGACAGGAGCCCTCCCAGTCCCGAGGGGCAGCAGCAAGCAGGAGGAGCTCCCAGAGGTAGGAGGCAAAGGGATACTTCTGGGGGTGTTCAGCGGGTTTCTTTTTGTGTCAGCCAGTGCATGGGGTGCTGGTTGGTCCCAACCAGCTGGTGCCTATGGCCCCAGCATTCATCTGGAGCTGTTCAGAGTGGCAAGAAGCCTGGGTCAGAGCCCAGTCTCCCGGCTGCCCCCACTGAGGCTGAGGCTGTGGGGGCGGGTACCACGCTCGAGCCGGCGGCCAGACAGGAGGCGCCGCAGGGAAGAGCCAGAGCTCAGGTCGCCACAGCTTCGAAGGTGGAGGCTCTCTCGGCCTGGCCGGCCCCATGGGCTCCGAGGCACCTAGAGGCGGGCACAGGACAGGGCATCAGTGTGGCTCAGCCCGAAGCTCCAGGCTTTCCTGGTTATCTTCCCAGACTCCCCTAACTCCTACCTGCTTAAGCCCATGGGCCCCATTCCCACTGGGGTCTGGGGCCTTCTTGGACATCTGGAAGAAACGAGTGACCAAGCCTCGGCCCGGCCAGCTGCTCTTCAGGTCTCCCAGGGAGTGGGCAGGTGCTGGGCCCGAGGGCAGGGGGACCTTTTGAAAGGTGGGCACGGGGCGCCGTTTCTCAGCTGAGCGGGCACGTAGCAATTTGGGCGAAGGGCAGCGGGCTAGACGGAAGAGGCAGGCTTCAGAGCAGAGCCCTGGAGACAGAGAAGGTGGGAAGGGAGGTGCACGGAGGGCCAGGCAAAACTCCCATAACCGCCTCCCTCCACCTCGGTACCAATCACACGCCTGACCTGTATCTGCAGAGGAAACGGAAGCAGCTTCTTCCTCGAGCGCTTTGGTATAAAGGTCCCTGAAGTCAGCTGGGGAGGAGAGGGAGGGACTGGAAGGGCCCAGTGGACACGCCCTCCAGGAGAGACTCAAGCCCAGAGGAGCTTTCCCAGCCCCCACACTCCACACTCCACCCTCAACCGAGCGGGCATCCCCTCTGCCTCTGTCTGCCAGAAACCCGATGGTAGAGCCCAGCTAGACAGGGACTAAGGCGGTCTGGTTGGTGGCTGCATCCCCCCCAGTCCCCCCAGTACTTGGCACACAAGGCCAGTGCTAAGATTCTATCGCATCACCTCATTCATCAGTAACTCGAGCACCTGGGCCCAGGGGCCGCTACTGCGCCCCATGAACAGGCGGGAAGCCGAGGCTTGGAGAGGGTGGGTAACTAGCCCCAGCTGGGAGCTGTGGAGTTTGGTTTTAGCCCTTCAGCTACTGATGGTGGGTTTTTAGGAGGTGAGCACTCAGAAGTGTCTACTGCAGGAGTGAACTCACCCCTTCTTCCTCCTTGGGGATCTCCACGGTGTCCTAAATCCTGGCGGGCACCCCTGGCCCTCTAACTCCCCTGCCTGTGCGCTCCTGAACTTTGGGCGGGGGGATGCTCACCGGTGTCGCTGGAGGTGATGATGCCTGGGTCACTGTGGGACCGCGGCAGCTGCAGCGGTGGTCGGGGAGCCGGATGAGGAGGCCGGTGCCCCGGGGGGGTGAGGGAACCTGAGCTGTCGCTGAAGCGGCGAGTGGGGGCGCAGGCGGGAGGGGCCGCAGCGGGCCGGCCGCCTCCCCGGCTGCCTCCCCGGGGGACCCGCCGCCTCAGCTCGGGGAAGCAGGGTCCCACCCAGGGCGGCCAGCCCTCCAGCCGGTGGCAGCTGCGGGCGGCCGTGGGGGCCCCCAGCGGGGGTGGGGCCTCGGGGGCCGAGCAGGAATAGGAGCGGGCGGCCCTCGGGGGTCGCCGCGGCAGGGGGCTGTCCTCAAAGGGGCCGCGCAGGCCGCAGTCCAGGCTGAGGCAGTAGCCGGCGCGGCTGCGCTGAATGGAGCGGAAGAGCACGTAGTCGACGGAGCGCACGGAGCCCTGCAGCTCCAGCAGGCACGAGTCCTCCGACGGGCTCGAGCCCCCAGGGAGGTCACCGATGGCCGACAGCACCAGAGACCCGCTGTCCATGGACACTGTGGGCGGCAGGGGGGCGTGGGGGGGGCACCAGTCTTTTCGCAGCCCCTCGGCGGCCACGCTGCCTCCAGAGCGGCCTCAGAGGAGGCAGGTCAAGTCCAGCGCCCCGCCCAGCTCTGCTCTCGGAGGCAGCCCAGCCCTTGCCCCCCTCCCCATTTTGCTCACCGTCTACAATGGAGGCCACCCGCTCACAGATGCAGGAGCCATCGTGAAGCTGAGGATCAAACAGAGTGGCCTGCAGAAAACGCGAGCGTCAGGGGGCCAGCCCGACAGGCTAATGTGGCCACCCCATGTGCTGTGTGCTGGACAGAGCTCTGAAGACCTAGCTTTCAGTCCAGCTTTGCCACCCTGTGCAGGCCAGTTATGTGGGCCTCAGTTTCCACATCTGTAAAATAGAAATAATAGTCCCCCCCACCCCCACCCCCGGGCTCTAGGGAAGACCAGGTGCCACAAAGACTGTGAGGACTACTGTTTTCTTTGTCCAGTGACAGCAGCTCCCTCAGCTTTTCAGGCTCTCTCGCCAGCTCCCCAGGCCACACCGAGCCCTGCTCTCACCTGGCTGTCTCCTCGTAGCCCCATGACGGCCTCATAAGAAGGGGGGCAATCCGTAGGGTACGAGGGCACCGGACTGTCCATGGAGCCATTGTAGGTGATGCTGGCAGGATGAGGGAGAGGTAAGAGCCTGGAAGAGCACTCCTACTCCACAGAGCTCCTTCCCCAGCAATCCAGGCTGCAGCCCTGGCCCCCTGCTCAGTTTCCCCAGCAGGACTCCACCAGGCCTCACCTCTGTGCATCTGTTTCTGAGCTGCAGGTGTACTCTGGGGGATAGTAGGGCGGAGGGGGCACCGGTGGTACGAATTCCTCCAAGTCCAGCATGGTGTGTAGGAGAGGAGCTGGGGGTGACGACGTACAGCCCAGAGGCCCCAGGGGGCCTGAGACTGAGCGCTCAGGGGCCAGCTGCTGGGGAGCAAGCAGATCGGCAGGCCTGGTTTCTGGGAATGCAGCTCCTAGGCTCCCAGACTCCTCCACGTTCTCCTGGTCCTGCCTCCTCCCTCAGCCAGAACCAGCTCCTCTTCTCTCTCTGCCCCA